CTATAAATTTTTAATCTAATCAAATTCTTATTATCATTTCTATACGTTGCCTACTGACCCAAAAATATCCATTACAAAGATTAAAAACGAAAAAGTATCCGATATTATAGCTAAACCATTCTTGAGATACGTTATACAGAAATACATGTTCAAGAAGAGATAGAATGTTGGAAATCATCCTTTTTCCCTTTTTTTTTTTAGCATTGTTTAGTGTGGCATACTGTCATCTAACTGATTTCTTTTTCTTTTTCTTTTTCTTTTTCTCTTTTTTTTTTTTTTGGAAGAATCATCTCACTAATTTCTAAAAAATCAATTAATTCACTTCACATTTTTCACACTTTCATGGACTTACTTTAAATTGCATTGGATTTTCCTAAACTACACACGAAGAACATTCACAGAATTTCTTATGCATTTTATACCTGAAAGCTAATAGACTTAGATCTTTACTGCAAACTCCAATTATGTGATCATTTACCCAAATGGCCTAGAAACCCGTTTCAAAACCACCTGCAACCATTGCATTAAAAATATTAGTTAGATGCAATTTATACTTTACTGTCATGTAAAAGTCATCATAAAGCATGAATGTAAATCCTCAACAATTACAGCCGCAGATTCTTAAAATTTCTATCAGGTTCTTACCGAACAGTTGTACATACAATATAAAAATAATAGCAGTTGTTAACTTCTGGTCCACAGTCCCAGCATCAGTGAATTTAAGGGGAACAATTGCTAATAAACAATTAAAAGAAAAAGATCAACAAAATAACTAAGCCAAAAATAAAAAATCCAATGATAAAGGGATTTGGAATGTGCAAAAAGCAATAGATTAACAAAGTAAAAGAGGGGACTGACAAAAAAAAAAAGAAAAAAGAGAGAGAGAGAGAATAAAACACCAAAATCGGAGGCAAAAATTGATGTATTTTGTAGCTAGAGGAACCCACGCCTTTTCTGGGCTTATTGAATGAGCGAGAAGAAGAATTTAAATGTATTCGTTCTTGGCAGTTGAAGGAGGCGCGACCATGACCACCATTGCAGTGAAGAGAGGACGTGGAAGGTGGGTATTAGGGTAGACGACTGAAATTTGGGTCTCAGGGCCGGTATCTGAAATAAAAAAAGGGGCCTTTTGGAGCCGGCCCGTTCGCAATGTAGTGTAGTCATGGGTTTTGTTTGTTGAATTTGGCCCTTTAACAATGTATTGTTGGGCTTTAAAGTGCTCAAGTTGCATAAAGTAATTTGATGGGTTCAATTTTTTAGTTTTTTAAAGATTTAAGACAGACACGGATTCACTTGTCACTGGATGACTTTAACTTATAAGATTAGCAACATGTTTATAATCCTTATTTTCCTCATTTAGGTTTTTCAACCGTTCTTAAGGTTCAATGAATGACAATTTAACAGCATCCAAAAAAATGACAATTTAACTATTACAGTAATTGTAAATTTGTATTAAGAGTATTATGAATTTTCTAAAAATATCCTAATACGCATATAATAAATTTAATTAGATCATTTTCATTAATATAAGACTCAAAATTAAATTCTCACTTAATGGAAATAAAAAGTCTAACAAATACACTGCACAAAAATTTTTCTAAAAATTGACAAAAAAAAACAATTATAATATTACAGGTATAAGTGTGGACTCGAAATCAAATTTCAAATTCCTTAATTTGATACAAGTGGTATAGAGCTTGTTAAGGTTATTGTCGAGAACTTCAATAGGTGTCCTTTTCTTTTGGGCCGGCATCCATGGGGTGGGTGGAATGTCTATATTTTTTAACTTATCCCTACATCGGACTCCAAATCACATTTCAAATTTGTTGAATGGTAACGAGTGATGCAAATTGCACAACTTTGCAAACTTCGTCAAATTTATCCATGTCTAAATCCATCAGTTCCTCTTCCTAGGTCCCACCCAAGACAGGAACAGGTGAGTTTTTTTTTTTTTTTTTAAATAATAACCTAGAATGCTGGAAGAAATCATGGTGCAGCTATAGGTGTGGAATCAAGGTGAAAATCCATGGTCAGTCACTTTATTAACTATGAAAGTGTCAATTTTT